AAAAAATGGAACAAAGAGAGATGACAATAAGAAAAGTGGATTACATACATAAAAAAACCCCCAAAGCAAATGAGTAACTTCATTTCAATGGCATTCACCAAAAACTGTATAGAAGGGATATCATGAAATACAGATATAGATCCAAAAGAGGGAACGGAGAGAATAAAAAAAAAAGATTATTTGATTCTCGATAAGGAATTGACTTTTAGCAAACGGTGCAGTATTCGAAGCAGAATAACTCGAAAGAGATTTTACAGAATAGTCTTTATCCCGGAAGTAATCAAATAATAGATTTCTCTGACTCTGTAATCCATCTTCTTTCTTTCATCTGTATATATATAAAAGGATTATATCAGGTCACAGGAAAATGCCTTGGATAAGATCTAAGGCTAGTTCTAATTTTGGCCATACACTTTTGTGATAAACTTATAAAAATATCTGATATATAAAACGAAGAAATTGAATTAATATAGACTACTGGAAAGAAATATCCTGTTTATAGTTTTCTTGTTCTTTGTTTAACATTTCAAGACAAACTGTTACCAAGGTAAATAACAAAAAAATTACAACTTTGTGACCAAACTTTGCGTATTGTTTTATGCATTGTGTTTATCATTTCATTTTAATTGAAGCGTTAATAAATTTATTTGTTTCAGCAGTATTATTAAATGAATAAGGAGGAAGTTATTAGCTGTTTAAAACATATTCGACATTTTTTTACTCTTCTTATACGATTCTTAATTTCCACCGTTGCCATTGCGATAAAAATATTTGCAATATTTTCAGTCAGTGCGTTGCCAACCTATAAAAGTTGTAACCGCTACATAATGTTCTTCTTTCTTTTTAAAATAATGATTTCGAGACTTTTTACTTTGTTGAAAATGGCGATATTACAAAAAAATAATTTAATGAAAAATGGTTGATTAATAGTATTCCAATTAATTTAAATAAAAAGGAATAAAAACTGATTTCTAAATCGCTATGAAATACAGTTATATAAAATGGAAAACAGATAAAATGCGAAAATGGGTTTGTTGTAGTAAATCAATTACATAAAGGATATATAACTCTTTTACACAATATCCTCCCTCATTTTCATTTAAATATTTCTGCTTAAAATGCCCAGCGTCCATTGTGATCATTGTAAATAGTCGTCTCGATTCTCAGGCATTTGTCCAATTGACTTTTTTATTATTCAAGATTTCGATGGAGACATTCAATCGAATATCTCAACGTTGGAATCTTCGTAGGTGCGGAAGTAATTAAAACCGCATTAGAAGATCTTCTAAAAGATACTTCTTAGAAAATCTTCTAAAGGCCACTATGAATATAGTTTGTATGATATATTAACGTTTATACTGTTTGATATATATGGAGTATCATGAATTCATTTATAGCCATACATCTGCCATTTTATTCTTGAGTAAAGGATTAATTTAAACGAAAGAACATCTTTTTTTCTACCGATGTGAGGGAATTGAACATTTAGTACATATAGTTAAAATCGTTTAACAAGAAATTGAGGGGGACTAAAATTTATTTTTCGTGTTAAAAGACATCGAAAAAAACATGTATTCCATAAAATTGAGTTCATTAGATTGTATTTTATTTAGACATATGTGATATATGCACATGTATTTCATACAAATCAATGAAATTAAGACATTCGCCAGAATTAAAGGGAAGTTAAAACGTAATTTTCCAAGTTCTTTTTGAAAAACAAAGCATTGATTGGGTTTTTGGAAAATAATCTGATATTTTTCTTTGCGTTGTAATTTTCAGTTCTATTAGTTCCCTCTCTCTACCTATATATATTTATTTATGTATATTTTGTTCAAATTTTTAATCGTTAATAAAATATATTTTATTCATCCACTGAAGTTCAAATACATTTTTAAAGCTTATAGTGGATGACACTTGATGTTAATACAGTTTTTTCAAATATTAATTATTTTTTAATTTTAAATTTATTCTGCGTTATATTTCTGACGAAGTTAAAACTAGCACCAACAGATGGCGGCAGCAAGTTTTTCTAATATATTTTTTCTAGGTTTCATATATATTTTTTCGAATTTTTAGTCGATGGCACATGATATTCATACAGTGTTTTGAAATATAATTCAGTAATTAAATTTAATCATCTACAATAAAAAGTTTTTTTGTTGACCTAAATAGGAATTGACATTAATCCTTTTAATCTTACTCGTTTAGTTTCAAATATTGAATAATCTGATTTTTTTTTCTCTTACATTGTCTTTTTTAGCATCAACTTGTCAACAAATTTTACAATTTTCTTATTCATTTCACTATTGGAATATGCTTCTTAATGACTGCGAATACTTTTCATGATGTACTTCATTTCGGATGACGTGGGAACAAGAGCTGCATTATTTATTTCCTTTTCGTCATTGGAATCTAAATCAAATTTTTTTTTTGAGCTTTGAACAAACTCCAAAATGTTTTTGTCATAATTGGGGCTGTATACACATTAGCATCAACTGTTGCAACGATGATATAGTAGGAAAGTCCAATAATACAGAAAATTTCTCAAACACCCTTCTTAAATCTTGCTTGCGCGGCTGGTGTTTTCGGTATTTTACTTATTCCCAGAAGTGAAATCTTTTCGTGTTAAGTGATTTTCGTTTCGTGTTAAGAAAAAAAAAAAAAAAAAAAAAAAGAAAAAAAAAAAAAAATTTTCGGCGGGCCCGTTGTGTTACTTCGTGTTAACCGATATTTCGTCTTAAGCGTTTTTTCGCGTTGAACGTATTTTACCGTATATTATTCCGTGGTACATATTGTTCATCAATCTAAATACATTCCCTTCTGCCCCCATTTTTTGAAAGAATACCTGTCTAAACCGTATAGTGTATTTCAGTAATAAAAAGAAATTTTATGATCTTTCTCTGTTTAAGTAAAGCCGTAATATAATCATATACTTAACGTTATGGATTTTATGGCTCTTTTTTTACGAGGAAAAGTCGTGGTATCGAATTTTGATTTGAATAAATACCATCCTATTTTATGATATTAGCATATTAAAATAAAATAGGTCTAAAAGTTCTCCCATGTATTTATACGGACAATGAAGAACTTGCTGAAATTTGGGCCTCGTTTTACTCTTGTGGATTAAAATTTCCGGATCTGTTACCAACAATCCATTCTGTATTGCAAGATTGACGTATAAGAAAAAGAGATATTGGTACTTGCGTATTATACGGTAGATCAACTTTACCTAACTATAAGACGTGAGCAATTCAAAAAAATATCACGAAATGTTGTCATTGTTACTATTATCATGTTTGAACGTACAGAGGAATTGTTTACCACTATTAGCTACATATCGCGATATTTGATGACGTTTTTTTTTTATATGACAAAAAGGGTCGACGGTATAAGAAGTAAGCATCGAAATTTTCATTTTCTTAAGATAATTTAGCACTTTAAAAGTCAAACTACTCCTTTCAACCCCATTTGTATGTTAGTAAATCTACAATCTATGAAAACTCGATAACTTTCTTATACATATTCTAATGATGCTGATTTTATTTCCTTATAATAATTTCTATTTTTATATGTTTTGGTTACTTTTATTTCATTTTCATCTTTTGTGGAAATTGATTTTTTTTTCTTAATCAATTTATTTGGAAACGGAAAACAAGCGAAAGAAATCGTGTCTTCTCTTTGAGGTAATTCTTTTTCGGTACTATTTCGTTATTTTTTAATTTTGCCATTTTCTTACGTACTTGATTTTATTTTTGCTCTGAAGTGTTTTTTTTTCTTTCGTTATTTTTCGTTTAATTTCTTATCGCCAGTCCTGTTTTTTGCAATTCATTTCTTTACTAATGCTATTGCTTCAAGCCAGAGGTTTTCATCTTCTGCATTTGTTATTTCGGTATCTTTCAATCTTTCAGTTTCTTTTTTTTTATTTGCATTTTGCATTGCTTTTCATTCATTTACTTTTATATTTCGTATTTAATTGATTCGAACTCCAGCTGTCTGTATTTCTTTTCTTTTTAGTAATTTTAATATTATGTATTAACTTACTAATTTGTAAATTTTAAGCAAAATTTTTACCTTTCTACAATATTTGTTCCTATTTTTCAATTTCTACTATTAGTTCACTCCCTATATATATATTAATTGTTCGAATTTTCAATGCATTTAAGTTCAGATATATATTTTTTTTAAACTTGTAGTGGATGTCACTTGATGTTAATATAGTTTTTTCAAATATTAATTCATTTATTAAAAAATGAATAAACAGTAACAAACAAAATTATTAGTCCAACAGCCTCTATAGAAAGGAAAATCGCTCGTTGTGTCTCTGTATCGCAATGGATAGTGTGTTGGACGTCATCCAAAGGTCGTGGGATCAAATCCCACCTGGGATGGTCTCATTTCTGAGAATGTGTTTTCTTTTAAACTATACTATTTTATTAGAATAATTAAATTTAAATAATAAATAAATAGTAACAAACAAAAAAAAATATAGTCTAACACCCTATATAGAAAGAAAAATGGAAAATTGCAATGAAAATCGCTTTCAATTTTGTCAATAAAGTGACTCTGTAATATGGATATACATATTTATATAGTGACGCGATTTTACAGCGTTTTCATGCTAATCCTCTTGGAGAAACTTTAGGGCTAGCATTGAGTTTTTTCACAGCCAAGCCTCTCTAGAAGAAACCGTGATATTCAGATTCGTTAGTAGATACATAGGGAAGGTTTTGTAATTGCAAGGACAAGGAAAGGAAGGAGGGAAGGAAGCTGAGATGCTGAACGCCGTGTTGAGTTGAGTTGAGTTGAGTTTGGTGTTTTATGGCGCAAGAGCCATTTTTGGCTATACTGCGCCAAACATTCATAGGTCTGTGGTCTGGACGGGAAAAGAAGAAATTGGATGACAAGATGGAGGGTCGAAAAAAGAGAAGGATCACTGGGGTACCCTGGGTCGTGATACCCGTGTTTACCAAAGATAGTAAACCCCTTGGGAAGAGGAAAGGATGACTAGGGTACCTCGTGATTGTGACACCCGTATCCACCTAAAGAAGGTGAACTCCCTTGAGGGGACTGAACGCCGTGAGCTGATGGTAAGAAATTAAACTTAGAAGCGTAATTATAGAAAGGGCTTTAGTAAGTCTAAGAAATTAAGGAAGATTGAGATTCACAGGATAACGTTACTGAAAGTTAAGCGATTAGGCTTATTTTAAAATTGAAAATTATATATATATATACACACACACACAAAAAAAAAAAAAAGCGCACCAAAAAATAGCTTTGCAGAAGTGTAATGAAACTTGGCATGAAAGGTACATGTCGGGGAGATATGCAAATGATTAGAAATGAAGCGTGACTGCGCATTACGTATAGCCGGCAGAGGGCGTTTAACGTCGTTCTCCGTGGAGTATAAAACAGGTAATAAAAGCTTTTTTCAGTGTGCTGAATCGTTTACAAAGGAAGACCTACGGTAGACATGCCATTTCGCCGTTTTCGAAGATAATATGAGCAGCTGTCGCAGTTTGAGAGGGGGAGAATCATCGGCATGATGGAAGCTGGGTGGTCAGCTAGGCGAGTAGCTCGTCAATTACGCCGCTCTGATTGTGTTGTGAGCGGGTGTTGGGACCAGTGGATCCGAGAGATGTCATTTACACGATGACTAGGCTCGGGACGCCCTCGGCAGACCAGTCGTCGAAAACGCTGCCACATCGTAAGAAATACACGCGTACAGCCAATTGCTCTTCATCGGTCACCATCTAGGTATAGGTAGCACCTTCACTAGGAGCCCCTGTGTCTTCTCGAACTATACGAAGGCTCCTGACTCAAGAACATTTGGGATCTTGAAGTCCATTACGTGTGCTGCCCTTGACGCCCACCCATCGATGCCTCTGTTTGGAGTGGTGCCGCGCACGAGGAAGCTGGATTGCAGCGGAATGGAACCAGGTTGTCTTTAGCGGCGAATCCAGATTCAGTCTCAGCAGTGAAGACAATCGGTTTCGTGTGTGGAGACCCCGTGGTGAACACCTCAATCCTGCCTTTGCTTTACAGCGAAACACCGCTCCCACAGCTGGTGTGAAGGTATGGAGTACCACTGCCTACAATACACGGTCATCCCTAGTATTGATCCATGGCACCTTGACAGCCCAGCGGTATGTCCATAACATCTTGAAACCACATGTGTTGCTACTCATACAACGGCTCCCAGGAGCAATTTTTCATCAAGACAATGCTCGGCCTCTCACGGCAAGGGTGTCACAACACTGTTTCCGCACTGTTACTACCCTCCCTTAGCCTGCCCGATCCCCAGATTTGTCTCCAATCGAGCATATCTGGGATCATTTGGGACGGCGAGTTGGATATCCCAGGAGTTTGAATGAACTAGAGGCAATATTAAAGCAAATATGGAATGAAATGTCTCAAAACATCATACAGAACTTGTCTGCCTCAATGAAAGATAGTATCGCATCGTGGATTCGCGCTAGAGGAGGTTCAACAGGGTATTAAATCATCCGTTCTTTTGCCTTTTTCTCTGAAATGAATGATTTTCTAATCATTTACTTATATCAAAGTATTCACTACGTATGTAAAATTTCATTTCTTTTTGAAGACTCCTTCTTAGTGCGCTAATTTTTTCCATGAGTGTATATTAGTGTAAACTTTCGAAATTTATAGACAGTGAAATATGCTCTACGCGAAAACGTTTAAGAGGATATATCGGCTACCACGAATAAATACAACGGTCTCCACAAATTACTATGCATTTTTCTGCATTTTTTCTCTTTACAAGAAAGGAAAATCGCTTAACACGAAAATATTTCCCTTTTGGCAATGAAAAAAATACGAAAAAAACCCAGCCGGATTGGGTTGTTCTACAGACTTCTATTATAGCAGACAGAAACATTTTTGAGTTTTTTCAAAGCTCAAAAAATCTCATGGATGGAGATTCCGCCGACGAAAGTGATGTGAATAATGCAGCTTCTGTTCCCACCTCATCTGAATTGAGGAACGTCATGAAAAGTAAGCGCAGTTATTTAGACGCGTATTATAAGAGTGAAATGAATAACAGAAGGGACATCGAACAATTTTTGACACTTAGATGCTAGAAAAATAATAGAAAGAAAAACTTTAGATTATTTTCCAAAAACTCAATCAATACTTTGTTTTCCAAAAAACTTGAAAATTTCGTATTAAGTTTCATTGTTTTTTTTTTCTTTTTTTTCATTGATTTTTTTTAAATACACATATATACGTATCTAGGTAAATAAATGAACTATAATAAACTTAGTTTTGTGGTTGTATGATGGTGCCTTTTTTTGCAATGTTCTTTAACACGAAATTCTTTGAACGCGCAAAAATATTTCAGTCCTTTTAGTTACGTGTTAAGCGATTTTCATTGTATATATAATTACACAATTTACATACGAAATAATGTATATTGCAAATAGTATATTTTATTATTATCACTATATTCTTTCGAATATGTTTTTTATGAAAAAGTTTCATGATTAGAGCTTTAAATGACCGATCTGCAACGCTAACCGAAGCCAACTACCACGATTTGGAGCTGGGTTGTATGTTTATTATGTAATGCTGCTAAATATTATATCATCTTTTGATTAAGATTTAGAATGTATCGAAACGCGTGGGTTCCCTAAAGGAAAACGAAATGTAAAGATTTCGTAATCTTTTCTGAGGAAGCTTTAGCTGTTGAATACGTATAGCAGAAAAATATATAGTAAGTAAAACTTCGTATAAAATAAATTTACCGTAAAATCCGACGTATAACGCGCACTTTTAACACAAAAAATAAGATCTAAACTTAAGGGTACGCTTTATACGCCGGGCATAAAAACGATAGCTTTAAAAATAACAAAAGAGCTAAGCATAAAAAACTGTTTTACCTCTACATGTATCGAAATACTGTTTTTTTTTAAATAAATGACTTGCCTTACAAACTGAAAGAGTTGTAGTCCTAGAAGTATACTATTTTTTCAAAAGTCTGGGATAAAAACTCGAAAAAATGACTTCAAAACATAAGAACAATGTACAGAGATATTTCAGATTCCTTCGTAAAAAGAGGGGGTGCACGTTATACGGCGAATATACCTAAAAATAAAGAAAAAATCATCTTGAAATATAGGTGCGCGTTATACGCTAGTGCACGTCATACGCCGGATTTTATGGTAAGTATTTTTGCATAAATATACGAAGTAGAATTCCCGGACCGAGTCTATAACTTAAAAAAAATATATTACCAATTCAATTGCTGAAACACATCCTCTTTTAAAATAAGACCCTTAAGCAGCAACACACTTTTATCATCGCTTGTAAAGATCATCGAAACATTTCTGGAATCCATTTTTAGCTGTCATTTAATTCAGACTGCGGTGCCTTTTTCACTTCATCTGCAGGTAAGAATCGACGACCCTAAAAGCGACTTGTAAGTTCTGAAGTCGCAAAGGGCGAAAGCAGGGGAGTAAGGGGATGTGACAAAACAGTTGTTTTCTCTTTCTGCCCTTCGTTGTTTAATGCCTGTTCTTACGCACTTCTCTGAAACCTTTTTAATGCCTTCATCGGTGCGAGAAGTCTGCGGACGTCCAGAGCGTCTCCCAAGAAACGGGGATCCCACTCAAAAGCTTGTGTTTGCGATAATGTATCACTGCTCACTGCTATACATATGCTTCAACATTTTGTAAGTCTCCATAACACTCTTTAAAATATACTTTCTACAAAATTTGATATTATTTCTCTGCTCTACAAATGTCATTTCTTTCAATCGCCGCTGACGAAATGTACCTGCTCACAAAATATAAAGCCTAGTCGAGACACCGACCACTTGATTTTGGAAAAATCACTTTTAGAAAAGGGGGAGAATGCAGTACCACAGAAACGTTGTCATTGTAACTCTACTGCAAAAGTTTTTCACATTATATACTCAGTCCAGGAACTTATGTATCTTACCTCGTATATGAGTTTGTGCCTTAAAATATTGTGAATGGAGCATTTAGAAAAGCCATATATGTTAAAATATCTTTCTAAGCAATATTGTAACTACATTAAAAATAATTTTTAATCAGAAATTGTATGCTTACGTAGTGTTTTAGTTGTTAATTGGGACATAACTGAATATCTAACACTTTATGCCTTGATAAAAACAAAACATCATTAAACATTTTTCAAATGTTTTAAATAATACAAATTTTCAGCTCTATTAAGTATTATCTTCAAATTACTGTTAATGTCTTGTATTCCTTTTTTAATCAGTCATTACTCGCAAAAATTCATATAAACAGAAAAACAAATTACCAAAAAAGGAAACGAATAAGAATGATTTTTATTTGTTTTCTTAGATAAGTATTACAGTATTACTTTATATAAATATTTCCCAATTTAA